CATGAGGGTGGGGGGAGCGGGGAAGGAGGGGAAAAATGAGGACCTAATGTCAGGGGTTTAAGTGGAGAGAAAATGTTTTGAGAATGATGTACAAATGCGCTTTACACAATTGATGTGTGTATGGATTGCGAGAACAGTTGTATGAGCCCCTAATAAAATGTTTAAAAAAAAAAAAGAATTTCAAGTACCTATGAACTCTAGACTTTATGGAGCCAAGGTAGCTGACTGCACCTCAGAAATGATTGCCCTGAGATTATCTTTAAAATCTAAGAGAAAGGTATTTCCTGAAATCTCCTTAAAACCAAACAATAATTTAGCGTAACCTGTAAAAAACATCTGCTTGTGAATCAGGCTCTTCTAACTCAATAAACATAGGATCACAGTGCCAACAGCAACCAGAAGGCTTGGATGGGACTTTCTCGGCCAATTCATTTTCAGTGAATTTCTGTCGATGAGGAAGTCACAACTCAGAAAAGGAGGGTGAGAGAAAAGAAAGAACAGGGAAAAAGAATAAAAAAAGAAAAGGAAGCGGAGACTGGTCACACAACCTGAAGAAAATTAACATTCCTAAACGGTTCCTGTAGAAGTGGATGGTTTAGTGCATGGTTTCTGAGTATATACTCAAAAGCAACATTTTAAAAAGTTTAGATTAATTATTACAAAACTAGAATCCAATGTCAGCTCCTTGGATCGATGGCAGATTCTAGGGCTGAATGGGGCAAATGAAAGATGAGAATGGATGATCTTATAGAAATAGAAAGCGAGTGCTCAAGAAAATAAGAAATGGAGCATGTCAAGGAGCCAGCGGAAGGGGCCATTCATTGGCAAAGCTGGAGGAAACTGTGTAACAAACTAAACAACATGATCTGAACCATATCCCAAGGCACACTGTAGACATGAGTCCATGATGAGATGAAAAACAATCGATAAAGTACAAATTTGGAGAAGAGACGGTCTTCTTTACAGAATTACAAACACGACAGTGAAACTGTGAGCGCGTGCACTAACTCAGTGGGTCTGCCTTGTTGTTCCAGGTCTAGCATGTTTTCTGCTTTCATGGAATGCAGTTCTCGCCGTTTTCCACCACACTCTATCGGTGGGAAATATTTGAGGTTTCCTTCTTTGACAGTTTTCCACTTTAAATAGGCTCTGGCACTTGCAGGTTTGACAGCTGATGGAGATGGAGATGGGGCATAACTTAACAAGCAGCCTGGACATAGTTATTTGTTTCCAAAGAACATAGAAAGAGTAAAATTGAAACTTTACAGTTGGAAAACAGTACCTTCAGATTTGCGATATGATGAGAAGGATACTGTCTCTGTGATAATCTTTCTCCAAACCCATAGCCCTGGTCTCGTTACAAGAGAACATAAATCCACCCGAGAGATGGAGGGATGTTCTACAGAATACCTGATGAACGCCCCTCAGAATTCTTAAGGTCCTAAACCGACAAGAAAACATGGAGAACTCATCACAGACGGAGGGAGACAATAGAGACATGACATCTAAATTCAATGTGGTGTCTTGGAAAAGAAAAGGAACGTGGATGGAAAAGCTAACACAATCTGGAGTTTACGTCATAGGAATGCGCCAATGCGGATTCGATTATTTTGATTATTTTGGCGAAATGCCAGGTCATGTGAATTGATAGCATTAGGGAAAACTGAAACTGCATGAAGGATGTATGGGAGCTCACTTTCCTATCATATTAACTTTCTTCTAAGTCAAAACTAGTCTAAAATTAAGAAACCATATTTTAATCGAAGTCCTGTACAAGAACGTTTGTAATAGCTTTATTGCAAAAACTTGAAAAAAATCATGTGTCCATCATTAGGAGAATGCACAGACAAATTGTGTACTATTTATGTAATGTAGTACTATTTAACAATAAAAGAATAAAATGTATACCACAACACCACTGAATAGAAAATCAACAAAGAAACAAACATGCTAAATGGAAAGAGAAAAAGAAGCTTTATGTCAAAACGTACATGAGTCAGACTTTGAGGAAGATGGTGAACTAGGCAGACATGCTAGATAGATGCTCCACATGACCAAGACAAGAAGGACCGAACGAAACAGATAGAGATGAAGGTGTGGAACCCTGGGCTTCAAGAGGAAGGAGAGAGAAGAGGACTGAACACCGACTAGAAGAAGAATCTGACCACTTATGAGTGGTCAGAAAAGAGACAAATGAGAAAATTGCCAGCCAGCCTGACCTGCTTCTGCCACCTCAAATGTAAAATCATTGGCTGGTGATGAGAAAGGTGTGATTCTCTCTTGTTCCCTATACTCGCCTTGTGACCAGCAGTGTGACCATCCTCCTCTGCACCCTCACCCATCCGGTGGCCAGTGACGCCTCAGCCCCTGCTGTGCTTGAGGAGAAAGCGCGTCATTTAAAAGGGAACGTGTGTCACAGTTGTGTCTGTTCCCCACGCTTATTCAGTCTCTCTGCTATCCTTGCTGAATGTTGCCCTGCTGATTTCAAATGGTTGATGTGCTTACCTCCCGACTGTGGATGTCTCCTTATAGATCTGCCTATTTGGCTGAATATTGAACCATGAAGGTGAATTGATTTCATTTTACTTTTAGGAAAATGTCCTGCAGAAATACTTACACAGGTATGAAGGTTGTATCTTATTTCACTGAATCTAAGACATCCCTGATAAAAAGAGTCATCCTAATTTGAAATATGGAAATAAGTACATCCTAGTGTTGATGAAATGCAACATTACAAAGCTGTTCATTGTATTGTTTGTACAAATATTATAATTGACTCATAATAATAGATCCTAAGCTGTCCTGAAAAGATTAAAGTAGGTCTAAAAGTACTGACATAGAAAAGTGGTTCCTACAATGATGTGAAAAAACCAAGTTTGCAAAAAAAAATTATGTATAATATTATTTTATTTCTGAAGGAAAAAAGTAAACAAAACCACTGCTGTGAGCGGATTCTCTTCTGACTGCTAGTGATCCTACAGGCCAGAGTAGAACGTCTCCATTGGAAGGAGCTTGCCACATCTTTCTCCTGTGGAGCAGCTCGTGGGTTTGAACCCCCGCTGAACTTTCTGTTAGCAGTTTCAGGCTTTAGCCACTGTGCCAGCAGGTCTCCTGGAAAAGAACTGATAGGTGTATATGTTTAAAGTTTCATGTTTGAGATAAAAAATGATTCTCCATGTCAGACATCCTTGGAATGGAATTGAGAAGGATGCGAAACTGTCTCGGCAACGTAGAAGGCCAGCGAACAAAAGGAAGCGCCTTCATGAGATGGGTTGACCTCGTGGCTGCAACGACAGGTGCCAACATCGCCATGGTGAAGACGGCGCACGTCTAAGCAGTGCTGTGTCCTGTCGTACACAAGGTCACTGCGCGTTAAGACCATCTAGATGCACTTAACGGCAACCACTGTTCTGTAAGCTCATTCAAACCTTGGAAACACTCTTTCAGAAAGCAGTCAAAGGGGAATGTATGTAGCCTGTTACGAAGACTCCAGAAGCCTCAAAATCATGGTTCACTGATCCCATGATTGGGTCAGCACGATTTCTAATTTTCTATTCTTTCAAGGAGCCCTGGTGGCCTAGATGTTACACATTGACCTGCTAACCTCAAGGTCAGCAGTTCAAGATGAGCAGCTGCTTTGAAGGGAGACGAGGCTTTCCATCCCCACAAAGAAGTGCAGTCCCCCAAACTTACAGGGGCAGTTCTGCCCTGTCCTGTGAGGTTGTTTCTGAGTTCTTATCGACTTGACAGCAGTGAGTTTGTTTGTCTTTTGGTTTATTCTTAACGTTTGAGCACATACTGTTCTTTTACAATATGGATGTATTCTGACATATCATCAACCACATGTTCAGATCCCAGATGAAATTATGAATCCCCACGTCTGTCGAGTGGATGCCTATTCATGGTGGCCCTCAAAGAGAGTAGAACTTATCCCTAGGACCTAAATATTGCTCTGAGTGGCAGAGAGAGAGAGAGCAAAACTGAAATGGGCTTGGGGTCTTTAGTGATAAACAAGTTCATTTCAGACGTATGACAACAACAGCAATCCAAAAGACCCGATAGCGCTGAGCGTCCGGTTTCAGAGGCTGTGATCTTTCAGGAAGCTGACCGCCATCCTCTTCGGCCACTGGATGGTTTGTGGGTTGCAACCAGAGACTTTTGGTTTGCAGCCAAGTGCTTGAACCTCCACAGCAGGAGGACCCCTTGGGACGAGATATAAATAACCGGAATTTCTTCATTACTCCGAGCACTGTTTACTGAGTAAGGGTGGGCTGCCGCAATGTCACGTTGTCTATGAAACCTGGAGCGCCATCTGTTAGCGTGTTGAGTTTGGCTCCTCTTCAGTGCCTTGGAACCTGTCAGGCCTCCTCACCTCTTGGTACCGCCTTGTCTCTGGCTGTGGTGTTTCTTCGAACTCCGAAGTGAATGGTATTCACTGAACAAGAAAAGCCCATTTCCAGGTGCATTTAGGTCCCTATAGTTCTGCACCGTCCCCAAGGGCACAGTTTCATCCTCACAGAGCTACCGCGGAGGGCTGGGAGAGCGGGTGGAGGGCGATCCAAGGACCACATTTTGGCCCCAAGTTAAGCTCCTGTCTGGTCACCCCAACACACCTCAGAGAGCGTAAATGTACAAACATCCCAGATTGGAACCCTAGTGGCGCCAAGGGTTAGGCAGAGGCTCCCAGGGGGGAAGACGAGGCCGTCTGCTTCAGTAAGAATGTAGTCCGCGGACCCCATGGAAGGTCGCTTGCAGTGGAAACCGGCAGCGGGTGCGGGCCTGGCCTTGGCCGTGGCGCTCCAGGGACAGTCTCCAGCCGGAAGTTCCCTCGGGCTCCCTAAGCGCTTCCTGTTTGGTAACTAAGGGCGCCGGGCGGTTGCTAGGGCTCCGTTGGCAACGGGAGCAGCTTCGCGGCGGGCGCCTTGGACTCCCGGGTTGCTCGCCAGGCTGAGGGCGAGTACTTCCTCGGCGCCGGGCCTGCGGTCCCGATCCACGGACCAGCATGAGTAGCGAATTCTTGGCGGAGCTAAAGTGGGAGGATGGCTTCGCCATCCCGGTGGCGAACGAAGAGAACAAGCTGCTGGAAGAACAGGTGCGGAGGATCGAGACTAGAGAGGCGCGGGCGGCCGGGAGGGTTGGTTTGGAGAAGCGTTTTAATTCAATCCAGCCTCTAACCCGCTTTTTTTTTTTTTTTTTTTGGTTCCGGCTAAGCGCTTTTTGGAAACATTGAACCAATAATCGATTTTCAGGGCTGTAAAACCTCACCGTTCTCTGGGCTCTCCAACCCCACCCAGGCTGGCCAGAAATGGCGGGTTCCCTCGCTCACCTTTTTCCCTCCTTAGAATTAGGCGCTCCTTGCCGGGGCACCGGTGGGTGGTTATTTATGGATGGTTGGGAACCGTAAAAGAAGTTCGGGCAGACATGTGTGTGAGTTTCTTCCTATGGTGTTGAAAGCCATAGGTAACCTGGGGGTGTTTTCAAAAGGTAAGAAAGTAAAATGAGCGAGTTCCCCCTTTTGAAGGTGAGGATCACGTTGTCGAATCGGGGTATAAAATACCTGATATTGTGAGGAAGTCGTACTTGAAATAGATTCACTAGTGCTAGTGGGGGGGCCGGGGGGATGCAACCGTTCAGCAAACTTTAAAAAACTTGAGGGAGTACCGGGAGGGTGAGGGGAAGGTGGAGGGAGAGAGGGGGAACCGATCACAATGACCTACCCATATCCCCCTCCCAGGGGGATGGACAACAGATAAAGGGGTAAAGGGAGACATCAGACAGTGCAAGACATGGAAAGATAATAGTAGTTTATAAATTATCAAAGGTTCATGAGGGAGAGAAGGAGGGGGAGGGAGGGGGAAAATGAAGAGCTGATACCAAGGACTTAAGTAGTAAGAAAATGTTTTGAGAATGATGATGGCAACAAATGTACAAATGTGCTTGACACAATGGATGGATGGATTGTGATGAGAGTTGTACGAGCCCCCAATAAAATGATTTAAAAACAAAACAAACAAACAAAACCTTGCAGTAATCAAAAGCTCCATCCCAGGACTCTCAGACTGAAAACCAAGGCAATGGCGGGCGCACCAAAGGGAGCAGACTTGGAGGTTGCCAAGGGCTGAGGGCGAAGGTGGGGGATGCCGGGAAGGCTAGAAGGTTGACAGGGATTGACTTGGGTGAAAGGGAGGCTAGAAATCCCAAACAGGGAGAGGAGAGCTCAGGATAGGTCTGGAATGGAATATGGGGGAAGAGAGTGTTAATGAGTGGCCCCAACTGGTGAATGCAGAGTTAATGGCCTGAAATGTAACCGCCCCTGCCCCCTGCCAATTTACCATAAACAACTGGTTTTTAAAACGTTCCATCACTGTGACAATATGTTGCGCGAAAGAGGGCCAGAAAAGTGATAGATGCTGACACTACTTTTTAGAAAATAAAGTTTTCTTTCCCCTGGGAAAAAAGTGAAAATCCTTTGTCCTTTGAAAAGGACACAAACACTTCAAAAAAGCTCTATGTCTAAGGTAGAAGGGCAACGTTAAGGAGGTACAAGAGATGTAGCACAGAGAACAGCTCAGGTAGCACAGTGGGTTGCCCGAAATGGTGACATTCATATAATTTACCAACCAGTTTGCTGCCCTAATGATCATTTTCAATATAAAAATACAATATATTGAAAGGTGGTTTATTATTTCATATATTGTAAATTATGGTGCAGGCAACGGATAGTGGAAGTGCCATGGACTGGCAACAGAATAAACATTCTATCCTGAAAGAAGTACAGCCACAATGCTCCTTAGGGTCAAGGATGGCAAAACTTCACCTCACTTACTTTAGACACTTTTTCAAGAGAGATCAGTCCCTGGAGAGGGACATCATGCATGCAGTGGTAGGATTCAAATAGCTGGACAACTGGTTTGCTGCCCTAATGATCATTTCAAGTATAAGAAAACAATGTACCGGAGGGTAGTTTATTATTTCATGTAGTTAATACTTAAATAAGAACAATAAAAAGCACACAAAACCAGATTTATGAGCTTTAAGCTATTAATAAAAGTTATCTCCAAGTTTATCATCAAACTTCCCATTGCATTTTTCATTTTAGTAACTGTTAGTCATATTTAAAATTTTCCAATTATTTGCATTTTACTTTTGGCAGCCAAATTGCTTTGTTTTAGGGGTACAATGCAAATTCTACACTGAGTGTGTGTATTTAGGGTTTGTCTTTGCAGTCCTGTCTTGTCTGCCTCCTCTAGAATAGTTTTTGCTTTGTTTATCATAGTATTCATCCCATAATGTAATTTTTAACTAGTATCAGGTGATCTTTACATGCCTTTTTACCTTTCAGAAAGAGGCTGTAAAATACTGCTTTGTAACTCTTTGGGAAAAGGATTTGTCACTTTTCTAAGAGTTTACCATTATGCTTACATTCAAGTAGCAGATACTGTTGCTATGGGGACATTATGTAATGATAACTATCTGAATACAATGATAGCAACCTTAAAGCTGTTTGCACACATAAGACAACAACCAAGTCTATAAAAGTTGTTATAAATACAATTCAAAGGCATATATTTTCCATTGGTCTTCCACCGAGTTTCCTAGGCTGCAATCTTTATGGAAGCAATGCCAAATCTTTCTTCCATGAAGTAGCTGGTGGCTTTAAACTAGTCATCTTTTGGTCATTAGCTGAGAATGTAACCACTACACCACCAGAGCACCTAATAGAAATTTTAAAAGACTTAATAAAGAAAACAGAAAGAGTGACATAAGGGCACTATGTTAGCCTCTGGGTTGACCAGAGCGACACAGTCATAGACACCCATAGGTGAGTAAGAAAGAGTTTTATATCAAAGAGTAATTGCGTATTGAGAAAACATCCCAGCCCAGTCCAGATCAAGTCCATAAGTCTGATATTAGCCCATATGTCTGATACCAATGTATAAGTCCTCTTCAGACTCATGCAACACATGCACTGATGCAGAATTCAGGAAGATCACAGGCCAGTGAGTGCAAAGTCTTGTAGATCCAGTGGCGGCATAAGCATCTCAGGTCTGGCAGGGATCGCCACATGGCTCCTCCAGCTCCAAGACTCTAATGTAGCTCCATGTGTCTTGTTAGCAGAAATGTCTCACAGGGAGTGAGTGTGTATCTGGCCTCCAGTGAGCTATTTATCTCCACTTGCGCCTCCCAAATGAGGTTATCAAGCTGCGACTGATTGACAGGCTAGACTCCACCCCTTCACAAGTTGACACCAGATTATGTAACTACCACAGGCACATATATATTTAATAAGCATATATATATTTAATACAAGTAAATTGAATACAGTATCCAAACCCACACCCACATTGCTGTAGAGTCAGTTTTGACTCGTCATGAAAGCCTCGTTTTTCTTTCTCCCCCAATGGCTGGCAAGTTTGAAGTGCTGACTGATCCTGCATTTAGGAGTCCAATGCTAATAAGTGAGTAAATTAGGATTGATTTTCTTTATTTGTAACGTGAAATCTCCAGTATTTCCATACATATTTCATTAGGTGGCATTGTATACATCCTGAGGTGTACCCTCAACTTTGGGAACCAAAGCTCAAGGCCAGGAGGAGGCAGGATTGGGCAGTGTTTTCTTTTCTTGTACATGAGTTACAGTAACTCTAAGCAAACTCTACAATACCTAACAACAGCATTCTACTGTATTGCTGTTAGGTGTCACGGAGTCACTTCTGACTCACAGTGACCCCAGGTATGGCAGGACAAAAAGTGCTCTGCCACGTGCCCCCCTCACAGTGATTGGCATGCTTGAGACCATTGGGGCGGCCACTGTGTCAGTCCATCTCCTTGGGCGTCTTCCTCTTTTTTTCATTGCCTTTCTACTTACCACACTGGATGTCCTTCTCCAGGGACATGTTCTAATTTGTGATTTTCTAAAAGTGTTTTTGAAAATACTTACCTTTATTTCTACCTGGGTTAAATCCAAAGACACACAAAATGCTTTAAGGAATAAGTTCTACCCCGTGGGAAAATAAAATAGTGCGACTGCTGTAAACATCTGTAGCTAAGCCTCAAAAAATTAAATACAGAAGTACCAAATTGTAAGATAATGTAGAGACAGTGCCTACCTTACAAATAAAATAGTTGGAGAGGGTATGATCTGCAGGAGAAAGTTTACATACAAAACAAACAGCCAAAGGGCACTGGGTCCCTGTAATATAGACACTCCAGGGCCCGGAGCTTTATTAGTGGCGGGCTTAAATACTTTCCCAGCAAGCAGCCTGTAACACATGACAGGTTTACACACACAGGGACAGTTCGCAATTTGGAGGTTTACAAAGAAGCATTAGCACATCCGCCAAGTTATTCATAGACAGGAGGGGAGGATGAGGCTGGGAACATGAAGTAACTGATAAGTTTGCAGGCTGCTGTCTTCTGCAGCTTTAGTCTGGGAACAGGTGGCAAGTATCCATTTATCTCTGGTGGAGAGACAGCTCTGCCATTGCTTCATCAGCTCCCATGGCTGATCCATCAGCATTCTCGCACGGGCCATGAACCCCAAAAGGTGGTGGTCCTGTCCTGTTTGCCTAGGGAGCGCACAGCTTTCCCCTACACAAGATAACATAATAATTGCACTCCTAAATGCAAATCCAGAAGCATTAAAATCAGGGACTCAAAATCTGCTCCCATCAAGTCAATTCTTACTTAAAGTGCCCCCGCACAGGGTTTACAATGCTATATATCTTTTTAAGAGCAGACAGCCTCATCGTCTTCCCAAAGAACTGCTGATGGGTTTGAACCACTGACCTTGTGGTTAGCAGTACAATGCTTACCTGACAGTGCTCCCAGACGAATGGCTAGATAAAATGAGGATATCAGCCATGTGGAGCAATGATGTTCTGATACATGGATGGTTCTTGAAAACATGGTGCTAAGTGAAATAAGCCAGACACGAAAGGACACATATTATGAGCTTACTTATATGAAATATCTAGACAAGGCAAAGGTATAGCAGCAAAAGCTTTTGAGTGGTTATCAGGAGCTAGAAGGAGGGGGGATAAGGAGTTATCTTTTAAGAGGTATTGAGTTTTTGTTTGTAGTGATAAAACCCTTGGAAATAAATAAATATGGTGATAGTTACATAGCCTGATGAATGTAATTAATGTCACTGAATTGTGCACTTAAATAGTTAAAATGGTGAAATTACATATATACTCACACAAAAAAAGAAGGCAGGCAAGAAGACAAGTTGTAAGCTCAGGAGAGTTAGTTCTGTCTTATCAGTCATAGCCTTAGATTTATGGATTTGTTTTTATTTTTCATTAGTGACTCAGGGAGGAGAAATTCTCCTCTTCAAATTTTCTTTCATTCTCTGTTTTTTCATTACACTTTATTGCTGTACTCTTGTTTGCCTTACTTGTAGATCTTAAGGTTTAATTATAGAATAGAATCTTATTTTCCACCCTCTGTTAGGTAAGTAAGCATTGGCTGCTAACCTCAAGGTCGGTGATTCAAACCAACCAGCTACTCCTCAGGAGAAAGATAAGACTATCTGCTTGTAAATAATTACAACCCTATATAGGTCACTATTAGAAGACTCAAGGGCAACGCGCGTGCTCCCCCCCACACACACACACGAGGGGGTACCCTCCCAAAAAACAGAAAAAAGTTCCATTGGGGGGAGCTTTCATAGTACACATTTCCCCCCTAGGTGAGCATCAAGCAACTCACTCCGAGTTAGGGCACCCAACAGTGTCACCTGGGAACTTTGGGCCTCTCTGGTCACTGATTTTTTTGTAAAAGCAGTTTCACTAGAACTTCGTTTTTGTGATGTCCGATTTACGAGACCAGCAGAAGCTGTGAACTTTTGTTTCCTGCTTGGGAACAATGCCCCAGAAACGATTGTCATGTTGAGCACAACTTACAAGGACAGCGCTTTGGGAAAAACTCAAATGTACGAGTGCAGTGGGTTTCTCGTTTCAAAAAAGGTGAAGTGCCAATTGATGACAAACCTTGCCCTGGATGTCCATCAACTTCCAGAATAGACGACGAAAATGGTGACTCGTAGTGCATGTGGAGTTTGTTCAACCTGGTCAGACTGTTAATCAAGCTTTCTATTTAGAGGTTCTGAAAAAATAGCATAACAGTTTGCAACAAAAAAGGCCAGATTTGTGGCAGATGGGGAACTGGTTTTGCCACCACAACAATGTACCTGCTCACACAGTCATCTCAATGCGCTAGTTTTTGGCAAAAAAGCCAGCATGCCTCTTTGCCCCACACACCTTTTTTACCTGACCTGCTCAGAGCAACTTGTTTGTTTCCAAGAACAAAGAGGGACAGGAAAGGACAGCAATTTGACTATGTAGAAAAGATTAAGAAAAAACAAGGGAGGCACTGTTAGCTACCCAAACAGATGAGTTTGAAAAATGTTTCCAAGAATGGAATTGCAGATTTGACAAGTGTATTTACTGTAATGGAGACTACTTTGAAGGTGATAAGATTGTTTTGTAAAAAAAATTTAAATACATAGTTTTTTTGGGGGGGGCAGAGATTCTGGTTTTGTGTGTGTGGGGGGGGTTATCCCTAGTGTGTGTTTAAAGAATACAGTACGCTGCATTATAAATGCATTTTTAAATCATATGTCTATCTACATAAGATAGGCAGGAAAAACAGGACCGATGGTTTGGGGGTGGAAGATTGTGGGAGAGGAGGAGTTAGGGGTGGGGGAAGGTAGTGCTGAACCAACAAACTCAGGGACAGAGGAACCTCAAGGAATCTAAAATCAACAGTGAGGAGGGTGTAGAGTGCCTGATGGTGTTTGATCAATTGTAATGTAGCCAGGAGGAATTACTGAGAGCCAGATAAAGGTGAACATGATGGTGAGGCAGGATGAAAGTACAAGGAAGTAGAGGAAAGAAGGAGGAGGTTAAAGCTATATAGAGAGGCATAAATATAGACATGTATATATGTAAACATATTAATATATAAAGATGGGGTTTATATTTGTATGTTAAAGCACTAAGGTAGCAGACTTCGGGCCTCTACTTAAGTGTTCCCTCAACAAAAGACCACTTTATTTCAAGAATGTGGCACTACTCACCTTCCTGACAATGATCGCTGAAGGCAAATGGGCAATAAGCAAATGTGGTGAAGATAGCTGTTGGTGCCCAGTTATTAAAAATATATAGTGTCTGTAGTTTTAAATACTGGAAATTAAACAAGAGGCCATCTAGCATTGAAACACCAAAGTCCACATGGAAGAAGCACACCAGCCTGTGTGATCGTTCGGTATTGACGGGATCAGGTATCAGAAGTTAAAAAACAAAAAATCATATAATGAAGGTGAGGGGCTAGAGTGGAGACCCAAAGCCCATCTGTTGATAATTGGCCATTCCCTCACAGAAAGGACGACTTATCCAGGGTGCAGTGTAGCACCGACAAAACACATGGTATTCCTCTAGTTTTTTAATGCTTCCTCTCCCCACTATCATGGCCCAAGTTTAACCCCACAAATCCTGCCAGACCAGTGTATGTGTATTGGTACAGATAAAAGCATTCAACACATGCAATCCAGGATAGATAAACCCCTCAGAAACAGTAATCGGAGTAATGATTCCATGAGGGTATGGGAAGGGAGGGGATGGCGGGGGTGGGGTACTGACAGCAATGACCAATGCTGGATGCATAATCCCCCTCAAGGGGGACAGTAGAACTGTGGGTGAAGGGATACATTGGATGGTGTAAGATATAAAAAAAAATTTTATTAAGAGTTCACGAGGGTGGTATGGTGGGGGGAAGGAATGAATGAAGAGGAGCTGCTATCAAAGGGCCCAAGTAGAAAGAAATGTTTTGAAAATGATGATGGCAGCATCTGCACAAGTGCACTTGATATATTTACTTTATGGATTGTTATAATATCTGTAAGAGCCCCCCAATAAACTGATCAATTTTTAAAGATGCATATTAGCAGTGGTCCCGACATGCTATGGCTGCGCATCCGAGAACCTCAAAAGAATTCACTGCCCTTGAGTTGGTCCTCTTAGAGCAGGGCAGAACTCTCCCTGTGAGCTTCCAAGACTGTAATTGTAGAAAGCCTCGTCTTTCTTTCCTCGAGAGATGGGTAGTTGCGAACTCCCAATCTTGTGGACCACAGCCCAACGTGTAACCACTCCACCACCAGGGCCCCCTGGCACTTCTGAGAGAGGTTTCAATTCTGCACAATGTGATGCTGATTTTCCACAGCAATCTCTCAACTCTTAAGGCTCTCTTGCTTTTTTTCTAAATATTTAAAATGTAAGTAGAGTATATAACTTCATATGGACATTTAAAGAAGCAAAATAAATAACCATTGACTTTTGATTTGAAGTCCTTTAATACAGCAAAAACTTAGACTTTGGTTAATCATGGCATTTATTATTTTCAGTTGTCCAAGCTTAAGAATGAAAGGGCAGACGTGCAAGATCAGCTACGCGACTGTGAAGATCGAATCAACGCTATGACTGCTCACTTTAAAAATGTTAAACAAGAATTCGCCTTCACACAGGTACGGCAATGTGGACGTTGATGTTGATTTTGTCGGACATGGCCCTTGCACATTTCAGAGCGCATTTGCATCCGTGCTTTTACTCTAGTTGTCACGGTAAACACTAGCATAATTAAAAATTGTCAGTATGACCTCGACCTCAAAGTAGACCAGAAGAAGAGAAAGGAAAGGCTTGGAGGAGATGGAAATCATGCTGGCAGTGAAAAATGACAGCTGGCAGCACAACCAGACCTAATAGAAGCAGAATAAAATTTCTCCCTGCTGAATTTTTCAGCACAACTCCTGCGGCCATTGTCAGTAAAAGCAAATAATACACATCCCTTCAGTAGCTGTGTAGGGCGTCTTAATAACTTTGCACAGTTCAAATATTGCTATCTGTACTGTGAATCTTTGTATAATCAAGGGGTAAATTATATTTAGGAAGCTCCTATATATTAGATATAATTATAATATATATTTTATATATAAATTTATACCATATAAATAATGTAATAAATGCATAACTATATAACTTATATAATGTATTATTTAATTATATTATTATCATAGAATGTATATAGTATATAATTTATAAAGTATATAATTTACATATAAATGTTTTATTATATAATTTTATAACACAATTCACATATAAATATACAGAGTATATATACTAATTTTATTATATAATAATAAATGTATATATTATATAACATATATGTCTCTGTAATTATATATAATATACATAATTATATGTAATTTAGTATACATAATTGTATTGTGTTTTCAGTGAAAGTTTATACAACAAATTAGGCTTTCATTTAACAATTTCTCTTTTTCTCCAAACCATTTATTAGGATACAAGATATATAATATATGTTTTATATATATAATATATAATGGTAAAATTTATACATTACATAAATATACATATAGACTTTATATATAAATTGTATATGATTATATAAAATATATTTAATATATATATATATATATATATATATATATATATATATATATATATACAGCACCCAAGGTGGGGCGAAAGGAAGGGGGGAGCCAAACATTCTAGAAAGACTCAATAGGCACGCTGAGCGCCATGGAGAGTGGGAGTGGCTCCGTAAGTCCTGTCTGTGGATGACGGCCTCTTTTTGTGCAGCCCCATCCTTCCCGGGGATCTCCAACAACCCACAGGGCTCGGATCTTGAACTCTTTAAGAGTGTCTTTCTGAGAAGAAGTAATTCTTAAATGTGATGCACCAATTTATAGTCATATAGATAGGTAACTATTTTGTTGGTTTGCATGTCTTAGTCAAAAGTTGCAAATATTATGAACTTTAAGAAAACAATATTCAGGATTCTAAAATCCTGATTTGTTTGATTAGTTGGTAACTTTTAGAACAATGCCTTTCCCTCAGTTTATTAAAATGCTGAATTGAAGAGTTGAGACCCAGAGACTTTATGTATATCTCATTATAGTCAAACTTGGTAAGATAGATTAAAGTCAAAAGAAAGACAGTAATCTTCTATAATTTTCCAAAATTTTAATACTGTGAACTTAGTACTGTGAGTGACAGCAGGAGCACTACAAGATCCTTACTCAACACAGGCTCTAGTAATACTGTTGAGAAAACATAACCATCAGTGTCTACAAAAGCACTTAAAAGATCTCCTTAAATTAGAATATGATTAATTATGATCATTCTATTTCCCTTGTTGTTTTAATCCATTAAAAACATGTTTTTAGATAAGTAAGGACTTATAGTTTTAATGTCTCACCTTCTAAGCATTTGTTTTCTTTATTTTCCACAGACCAATCTAATACCTGGAAATTGTTGAGAATAACAATTTCCCCTAGTACTTCATGGACTAACTTTCTTATATGTGAGCAATATCAACTACATTGCAGTCCCAAAGTCTAATGTATGGATTTCAGAGTCATGTGATTAATAATACTTACAGAAATTTTGAGAGAGATTTATTTTTGTCTAATGGATTATTATACATATTTTATAATGTTAACATCTAAAAAGTCTGTATTGTGTATTATTCTGTAGTCTCTTTGCAAAGCCCGGGATAATGAAATCGCAAGTGAGCAACATTTTAAGGCCATTGCTGAAAGAGAATTGGGCCGAATGAAGGATGAAATCCACCGGATGGAAAATGAGATGGCTTTGATACGAGAAAGGAAAAATGATAAAGAAGTATGTGTTGAAATGTTATGTAACATTTTGTACCATAAACCCTCTTCCTTTACCAAGCAGGGGGGAGGGGGCACTAATTTTTTTTTTTTTCTGAAAAAGGGGGCAGTTGGCCAAATAAGTTTGGGAAACATATTTGAAGGTGTAGACCTAGATGAAGGTACAGTGAACCCTCGTTTATCGCGGTTAATCGGTTCTAGACCCTACCGTGATAAATGAAATTCCGCGAAGTAGGATTCCTTATTTGTAAAT